ATGTTGGGGAGATTGAGTTGCAACCAGATGCAACTTATTTGGAGCCATCGTGTCGTATTGTTGACCGACGGGATTAAATCCTTCATAATAAGGTTATCCCTTTGGTGCGTGTTCAGTGAAGTCATCACAATGAGGCTGACTTGGGAACGGGAGGATGTTATTCTCTCGCAGTTTCCTGAAATATTGGAAAAAGGTAAGAGCGAATTCCAAGGACGGAATTCCTTTTATTAGGGGGGAAGAATGTAATACCCCTAATTTTGAAAGGATAGTCCTGGTATTTTACTTAAGTTTTTTGTTGCATTTTTAATTATTTAATTGTTTTGTTGCTTGGTTATTTGCATTAATTGTTATTATTTGAATTTATTTGAATTATTTGGATTAGTTGATTTAATTGCATTATTTGATTTAATTGACTTATTTAATTTAATTGGTAAATTGTTTTTATTTATTATGTGTCCTTAATTGATTTATTTAAATACTCATTTAATTACATAATTAAATCATTCGATTCGTTAGTTGTTTAGGGTTTGCTGGTTGAAGTCCCGTAGGTGTATCTAACATAGGTTATAACTTAGGGTGTTCTATGGGCCGACTAAGATTTAAATTAGGGCTCTGTCTCTAATTATGCACGGATTAGGGTTGTATTGTTCTAGGTCTATAAATATAACATCACGGTGGTTTAGTGTTTGAGAAACATAAGCATAGTTCTTTTCACATAAAACAGAGGGTTGAGAGAACGGAGGCACCGTAAGGGCTGTCAAGGAGAAAAACAGAGAGGACCAAGAGAGTGTTGTTGCAGATTAAACCAGAACCATAGGAGGCTTGAAGGTATTCAGTGGTTGTCGAAAATTTAGAGACGACGCCGAGATTTCATAACTGAAATCACAGGCAAGTTCTTTTCTTCCTCCTTCCCGTTGGCCTGTGTTCTGTGCACCTAGATAGTCTCTAGGGTTTAATTAATCATTAACTGAGTTTTACATGTATATTAGATGCTATATTGATGATATATATGTGTTGAAATCTATTCAATTATAGTACGTGCATGTTTGATTTCAGTTGTACTCTTAAAGCATTATTAGTCTGTAGAACTTGTAGTTTTGTATTTAATTTCAACTGCTGTAAACACACCAATGGATTATACTGGACATAGTTAGGACCTTTAGGAATAGTTTAAAACCAAATAGACAGGTTGGGAGTGACCGGAGACGAAGCAGAAGGTCGCAGATGTTGCCGAGGTTGAAGACGGCTCTCAGAGGAGGTAAGAGCCGACTCCATAGAAGTGGGAGCCGGCTCCCACACATGTAGAGCCGGCTCCAAGGTCCTTGGAGCCAGCTCCAGGCTGATTAGAGCCTGCTCCCAAAGTCTTGGAGCAGGCTCTCTCTCAAATTTGCTTCCTGATGTTGTTTTTGACGCACTGTTTTGAATTGTGCGAGGATTGAAATGTTCTAATGGTTCTAGGATTTCACAGAGGGACTAGGAAGTTGGTTTTGGTTGTCATTATGATCTTAAATTGATTTAGGATGACCTCTAAGTGAATGGGATAAATAGTAAAGAATTAACGAACCCTCTATGCTGTTAACGGATGGAAGATAGACTAATTACTTAATTAAATTTCAGCAAGTTAATGGGATTTGATATGTTATAAAACTGATTTTAAATGCATGATAGGGTCATGTATTTATTAGTTTTGACCTATGCATGTTTGGACTTTGGTTGCTAAGCTACTGTTCATAATTCTGTAGTTTAATTGGTCAATGTAGAGAGACAATAAAAGAAATTTTTGTACACTATAGTTGTGATCTCACGTAAAACACAAAGACGCTTGCTCTCATGAACTAGGTGATATACAAGTGCTATGGTATGTTTTTTTAGTAATATCATGAGAAAAAAACAACTTGCAATTTGTCACGCATATATAATTTTTGGTAAATAAATATACACAATTTGGATGGTCTTCAATAATTTCTCTTATAAGTCAAAATAGGTGACACATATATAACAAGAACATACCAAATGAGAGTTTTTATTTTTCAATTGCGTGCGCTTCTCTGGAGCGTAATTGGCTCTCATCTCAAATCAATATGCCCCCAACATTAGTTTTTCGAGTTGTGCGCTTTGGTAATGTGCCGCTCGGGGTTTTGTTCCCCGAGCACAGTCTTGACTTGACGTTGTGATAGTTGAACGTAGTCAAACAGGCCAAAAGAAATTTGAATTGGCGATGGACATTTTGCTCCTATTTGGACGTTTGCTGGGTCACATAAGCTAGTTAATTCAGTCAAATATCCAACATAAAATTAACCTTTTGCCCCATTTTATTAACTGGGGATGGCTCGTAACTAATCCTTAATTTGCCCCCATTTTATTAACTTGGGATGGTTCGATGGATGATATGGGTTTTGGATCTCAAGAGGCTTGCAGTATTGGTCTTGGGAACCGGGACAATTCCCAAAAATTTGGAACAGTGCATTCGAGCTTGAGCCATATTTCTTCAAAAAAATTAATCGTTCTCACTCATAGAGCCATCTGTTGAAGCGAAATTCTGCACAATCGGAATTTGCACTGGTCTTGCAGATGGTGACCAAGGCCCGATCGGGTACCCTCTTACCGATCGCCTTCTCAAAGGAGACAGTGACTCGTTGCACATCAAAATGTTGAGCCATGATTTTTGGTGATTCGAGAGAGATCTTCCGGAAGGTTCCTATCTCATTTGAATTTGTGTTGCTCATTTAAATTGCCTATAGTCTTTATCTTTATTAGATAAAATCAAGTGTTTCTGTTTCACTTCATTGACTTTCTCACTACAGGTATCGCTTCGTTTTTTATCACCTCCCTTTCGTTTGGTAAAGAACCCGCGGCTAAGCGAGAGAAATGGAAGAAGAGGAATGAATTGAATAAGCCCGTACTGACGAGCCAGCTGGGCAAAATTGTAAATGGCCATTTAGTTGGTTGAGTAATTTAGTGAAACAAAAAAAAGTCCTATATATGAAATGTGTTTCATATATTTTTTTTTTTTGTTTTAACTTACGCGTCAACTAGCATTCGGTAAAAATAAAAAATAAATCCACCACCATGTAACAATTTATCTGGTATATGGCACTGAGTTCAAATCATTCAACTTTGTGATAAAGCAAGTTGTCAGGTACTATTTTTCAGTTAGAGTAGTGTATTTTCATGCTTTTGTGCAGCCTTATTGATCAATTCATTGTCTATGTCCATAGTTTGAAATTTGCCCCCACCTCCGAACAAAGAAACGATAGTGCTAAGCTTCTAATGTTCATCACATAGCCAGCATAGTAAAGGAATGTATCGTCCAAAACTCATTATTGTGTTTGCTTCCTCAGAAAAGTTATCAAACAGTTATCCCACAACAGATCTTTTCAGACTTAGGTCAGCGAGTGTTTGTGCTTGTAGACATATATCTGATGGGACAGATCACAGCCTTATGGTCAATCGGATCACGATCCATTCCCACCCGAATCTAGATCATGTGTCGGCTAATTGCATTTAAATCGACAACATAGCAGTGTTAAATTAATAATGCAATAACCACGTAAAAGTGTTGAATTTGTTTTTAGTGATACTAAATCGTTGTAACACGATGTAATATAAGGGTTATAAAATGTGACATGACTTCCGAAACAATAGAAAATAAACAAATTGGAATGTTTAAGTTATAACTGTGTTAACCTGTTTAATTAATCACGTCAAAATGTCGTTTTGAAATTTAACTTGTTTAATCTAATTAGATTAATTTAATTAATCATATTATAATTATATTAGGTCAACTTTAACTAATTTTAACCCAATTACTAATGAACAATTTTATTATTTTAATATATTTTGCCCCTTTTTATTTGTAATACTTTCCCAATTATTCACATTTTCATGAAACTAGTTGTCCATTATCTAATTTTTGTAACTATGTTTGCATTTTATGTTTTAATAAAGAGATTTCATGACCTATTTAAGTTAAACAAGGTCACTAAACAAGTTGTGTCATTACATAACCTGTTTATTAAATAGAATACATGAGTCATGTCGTATTACCCATTTAATAAGTGGGTCGTGTTCGTATTGAGGGTCTAGACACAATTATTAAAACGAGTTATATTGAGGTTAACATATTTAGTAAAATAAACATAAATTGACACAACACAATTATAACATGCAAAGCACAAATTGTCACCCCATTATGATAGATGAGTGTGGTATCTATTATAAATCTATTACATGAGTGTCATATTGTTATTACATGAAGGTTACATATGAATCTAACATTGTCAAGCATTAACATTTGATTTAATAATTTATCATGGAATGGGTACAGAATTGATGAAAAATTCGAATCTCCCTCCCCATTACGTCATTTCTTACTTAAATAAATTTAATGAAATATATCTCAAAATTATAAATTATTTCGTGAAATGTTTAATTCCATAAAGTCTTTTTATCATCTCCTATCATACACTTTTTTTTCTTTTTAATAAGGCCCCCAATCCCTAATAAGTAGTCCGAGAGCCGGATGTTTTTGACAAATTTATATTGAGTGACAGATATGATAATGTCATATATCATTACGCCATTCATTACTCAAATAAATTTAAATATATTTCGGAATTATAAATTCTTCCTCGAAATGTTTAATTCGATCAAGTCTTTTAATCACTTCCTATCCCACGTTCATGTGCTGTTTGATTTCTTGAGTTCTTTTTTAGTTTTTTCCCTCTCTCTCGCGTGCTTTATGGCAGTCATGAAATGGCATTTTCACACCCCACATCAGACCACCCCCACACAGAAAAGCATCAAAGTTCACACTTTAATCATGACAAGCACCACCACCACCCAAATTGATCATATCCACCCATCACGGCCAACCCCCAATCCGACCACTAATTCCCTCCTAACTTCGTCACAAAGTAACCATTTCCATAACAACCTTAAAATCCATAAACATGAGTTCTAGATAAAAGAGCCTCCATTCTAATATCAAATCAATATAATTCAAATTAAAACAAAAAGCATTCACATACCAAAAAGTACTTACTGAATAATAATAACAATAATAACAAGAACAACAAGCATGCGCGCATATATTGTCCTTTAATCTATGCCTCAACTGGGACACCTATGCCAGAAAGTGAAAGCTCCTTTAACCATTCAAACGTTCGATGACGTGACATCGCTTGCTTTGTCTTCTTCATTGTCTCTTCTTTGATCTCTTGTTCGACAATTTTTTCACTAGAACTTATCTCATTGACACTCTTGCTTTTCCTCAGCACAATTCTTGAATATTTCGGATATTGATGAACTGTTTGATCAACTGTACTATTAACTGAACATTTGCAACCACCAAACAAGGCACCCCCATTTCTATCAAACAACCGTAATTGCTTCTTTTTCTTTCGGATCTTTGACTCGTTTTCGTTGTCGTTGTCGTTGCTGTTGCTGTTGCTGTTGCTATTTCTACTATTGTTGCGACTTCCAATGTTGTTAATGCCACGGAATTTGAGATCTTGCAATTCAATCTCCGGGGTTCTGACCAAACCCACCTTGAAAAAGCTCCATGCAGTGGATTTCGATCGGGGAACGTTCCCGGGTCGAGGACCGGAAACCCGGATCCGGGGAGTCGGGCTAGGGTGGGAATGGAATTGGTTTCTGGGTTTAGGAGGCTTGTTGTGAGTGGTGGACTTTGTGGTGGGAATGGTGGAAGTACTCCCACTGCTTGATGAATGGTAACTTCTAACACTGCTACTTCTGCTGCTGAAACTAGTGAACCCACCACCCGAGTAGTAATGATCCATGGACTCCGACCTAGAAACGCTCCCGCTCGGGTTCCGGCAGGAGTTCCGAGACCCGGATAGACTCAACCCGGGTTCGGAGCTAATGGAGTGGCGGAAAGGAAGAATTTGGCCTCGGAAAAAAACCTCATCTGCTACACACATCTCGGATTCCGTCAAGACAGAGCCACCACCCAATGAGCTGAAATCGAAATCTTCTTCGGGTTGGGCGGGTTTGGATTCTTGTTTTCTTGATTGCTTCTCTTCATTGATGGGAAGATCACATAGAGACAATGCTTCTTCTTCCTCTTCTTCTTCATCTTGTACTTCATTTTCAGGAGAATTGGGAGGTACCCATTTCTCATTACTAGAATCAATAGCCATTTTCAAAAGTAGTAGTTGGGTTTATGATCAGGTGAAGAAAGAAAAGATGTTCTGAGGTTTTATAGACAGAGGACAATATATATTATTGAGAGAGAGAGAGTGAGGACAAGTGGGTATAAAGAAGTAAAGCTAGTTCTGAAAAGCATTAAAGTAGAATAGAAATGGAGAAGACAGTGTGAGAGACCCAAATGTTGTTCCTTCCTTGTGCAAGAGTCAAGAGAGATGTGTCTATTGGGCCGGCAATTGCCTATATATGCAAACACGCTTCTTCACTCTCGCTTTCAAATTATATAGGTGGGGACAGCTTCCAGAATATATATATATATATATATATATATTGGATGTGTATATAGGTAGTTACTCATAAAATATGTGTGTATTGAAAATTTGAGAAATGCAATGCAACAAATCAAATTAAAAGTATTGTATTGTCATAGACAGCTTTGTCGGGCACTGTTTGTGTCTGTTAGATACTCATTTGAGACTCATTTTGCAGTCTATCCATTCAAATTAACAATTAACACACTCTATTTTACCCAGATATATAAATATAGGAGTGTATATAATATATATATATATATATATATATATAAAGTGGGGTCGGTGGGATTTGATAAATACAAGAGAGTTATGTGATCATCTTGTGGTGTAGATAGAGGGAATGCATGAAGATTTTGAATGTTATGTCATGGACGGCTTGTGAGTGACAGAGAGTGACTAAAGATATTTCTCTTACTTTAATACCTTTCGGCTTTACCTGTCTGCCAGGGAAGGTATGGCTTACTAGTATTTATTTCATGCTGTACAAGTAGTAGCATGTTCAGGAAAAGAATGTGTTTGTTGTTGTGCGTGTGTGTGTGTGTGTTTTTTTTTTTATTTTTTTATTTTTCATTTAATTAAACAAGGGTAATGACTTGACTTACCCAAAAAAATTAAATTACATAAGAGTAATGTAAGCTAATTAATTTAAGCTATCTCACCAAAACATAGTGAAAGTTGCAGATAGGGTTCGAGTAATCTTATGAACAAACGAGTTTATGAGTTTGAAAAGAAACATTCGAACTTTTTCAATCTTTATTTTAACAAGTATGTTAGAGGTTATAAATAAAGAAAAGTACACCTTCATTAACAAATTGATTTTGTGTTCCAGATGATCCTACAAGTATGTTAGAGGTTATAAATAAAGAAAAGTACACCTTCATTAACAAATTGATTTTGTGTTCCAGATGATCCTCTGTTCTTGCTTAGCCACCTCTTACATTAAAATTCAATTTAAACTCGCAATTAGTAATATGAAAAAAAAAAAAAAAAAAAAAAAAAAAAAAAAAAAACATAGAGAATTCACTTATGTATAAATACAGCACATTTATATTAGTGCAACATAACAAATGCGAACTATACTGACAAATTAGATCCGCAAGATTAAACTAAAATGTAGAACATATTCACATACCCATCAACTTCCTTTTCCTTCCTACGGCACACTTAACCTTATCATTTTACCTTTAACTCCACATACATCATCTTTCCTTTTCTCCCTACAGCACACTTAACCTTATCATTTTACCTTTAACTCCACATACATCATCTTCCTTTTTCTTCCTACAGCACACTTAACCTTATCATTTTACCTTTTTCTTCCTATAGCGCACTTAACCTTATCATTTTAATAGTGCAGTCCTTGAGTTGACTGTTGATATATATATATATATATATATATATATATATATATATATATTCCATAAGATAATCTTGGCAGAAAGTTTAGGGTCTACTTGGTTTACAATTCTGAAAATAGTTCTCAAAAAATATAGAATAATTTTCAGAGAACTATAAAAAACGGATCTCTAAAACAGGCCTTTTTATAACTAAGTTGTCAAAAAATAGTTTTCACGAAATGAACAAGCGGAGTGTTTTGTACAGTTTTTTGTTATCATAAAATTGTTTTCATAGTTACAAACCAAGCATACCCTTACTCTCCCACTTTTTATTTTATTTTATTATTATTATTATTATTTTGTTTTTGGTGAAAAATTAACCAGAAACAAGCTAAGAAATGAAATTGATTGACCACTTGGAATCAACTGTGGCAGTCGAGAAATAATTAAATTCAATATGTGAAATGATTTAGATGATAAGGCAAATGTTTGAAGCAAGGAATTTAGTCAATTAACCTCTCTTTTAAGTTCAACTAACTTGAAGAAGGGGAACTTTTTGGTGAGGTTGTTGGAAAGTAATGAAGTTGAATGTCATTGAAGTAAGTGAACACTTCACACTGCAATCTTAGAGGGAACATTGAGTACATTGTTGAATTGGCCCAATTTCAAGTGCAAGCAATATTGAATTTAAGGGTCACTATCAAATGTTAAGCTTAAATGGTATGTCTCTCTCATTTCATATGAAAGGTTGAGGGTCATTTATTCCAACAAGACAATAATTGTTGTGTGTGTGTACTGATCTATGTGTCAAGAGTTGGGATCTAGCGCAATACAGTTTAATTGTTACTATATCGGATGGTTCATATGATAATAAAAAGGGACAAGAATTCTCTCCAGGGAAAGGAAATGTCTTACACACCTACTAACTATTGATAAGACATCATTATTAGTGAAAGAATTTAATCCAATGATTGGTGGGTATACAGGATATCTCCTTTCCGGGAGAGAATCCTTATCCAATAAAAAGGCTGATTATTTTCAAGAATGAAATTTACCTCTTTGTTTCCACGAGCCAATCAATCTAGCATAGGAGAAGCTCAGTCAAATTACTGTAAAATTAGTGAGGCTATTGTTTCACCATGGGATTGAATGTGAAACAGATAAGGAAAATGATTTGGAATTCAAAACTCTATTTGTGGATTCCAAACCAAAATTTCGAACTCCTTATCACAATTTAACAAATAAAGCTCTCGTCCACATCTTACTCAAAAGAGTATTTTACCAAACTACATGAAAGTTGCAAGATTATTCAATCCAAATTATCCAATTATCTCAAAATTTTCATTTTTATATGAAAATAATAATAAATAAAATAAAAAAAAACACTTCTAGTCATTGGATGGACTCATCAGTAAACCAAGCATTTTTACAACTTTTCTTTATGAAGTGGGATGAATAGAAGCAAAGCAAGAGCCTCTTCGTATGCCCTTTCTATGAATATGGTCAACTCAAACCTTTTCTTAAAGGTTCTTTTGCATCTTTGGAACTTTTCCTTTTTACACTTTTTTGTTAAATATCTTTAGGAACATAAATAATTCAATGTTTTGGACCCATCTGATTTTAGCTCACGCTCTTCAGCAGTTCGTATAATTAGATGCATTAAAATTTGATCCTCTAATCAACTCTGCTACAGTCTATTGATTTTCGTTTTTTTTTTTTTTTCAGTAAATAAAATTTGTATTAAAAAAGAAGACAGGTAAAGGAAAACTCAAAGGGACCCAGTAGCATAGTTGGTTGGACAAAGTCTACCATACTTTGGGGGTATTTACACGTAAATGTGCCCTAGTTAATGAACAATCAACAAAACTCTCATTTTGTCTTAATACGAAGTGACGAGTTTGCAATAAAAAATATATGATTGTTGGCCAGGAACACCACATGATAAATACTCTTGGAGTATTATAAAAAATTTCAATCGATAAAACGTCTTTCTCTCCAAGCGTGTGTGACAAAAAGAAGAAGAAGAAGAAGTAGTTGACACAAAACTATCCAAACATTTAGAAGAGGCCCAATATCACAAAGAAAAGACAAAGAAGTCCAATACGAGCCCTCCAACCACAGCTTGCCTTGATCCAACCAAAAGCTAACGAACAGTAACGGAAATAACTGTCAGATTGGACCAAGAATATGAATAATATCACATTTATAGGTTATAAGAGAAGGAATCATCACAAATTTGGTTCACAGTCCTTATTTTTGAAGGATTATTATGTTTATTCGTAATTAATATAGTATTTCAAAGAAGTGCATCAAAAATACTGCATCACCCGTCATATACATCTACGTGTTTAACAACTTATTTCGAGTTCAAGTAGAGTAGTTATAAATTTTGGGAAAATTTTAAAAATATTCCTACTTTATTTTTGTAAAAATCTTTAAAATACTTTCCTCAATTTTTAATAATACCACCATACCATATATTATTGTTCAAGATTGCCTCTTCTCATATAATTATTTATTATTTAGATTGTTTGAATTCATCTTAATCCACTATATATTATTATTGTTTAAGATCGCTTATTCTCGTATAATTATCTAGACCGACACTATTCGAGTTCATGTTAAAAAAATTCACAATAATGTTTTGTCAGACTTCTCAAAATAATGTACACGTTGACATCAAAATTTTATTTCAAGAACACACACTAAATTGAACATCGAAATAAGTTGTTTGAACGCACTTACAGCATGCAAGTCAATCACAATATATCACATTAATACCAACTAGGAAATATATATATATCACATTAATACTTAAAACACAATCACATTAAAACTTGATAGTAGCAAACATTACAAACAAACTACAACAACATGACATATAGATAACCCCCCCTCTCTCATACACACATGTTGGGAGAGATAACAATAAACAAATATAGCGGAATAACTCTTCTCCCTATATACAAGCAAATATAGTATATCTCTACTTTTATATGTGCTGAAAATAATAGGAAAAAAAGAAAAACAATCACACCAAGCCACAAGAACACAAGCAATTTTTTACGTAGAAAATTTCCCCAATGTGAGGAACAAAAACCACGGGACCTAGTCCAGTTAAAATCTCCACTATCAACTAAATAATGGGTACACAAAGTCTTTTCTAATCGCAATTAGAGGCTACAATACATCTCATCAAGATATCAACAATCTTGGCAAAAATAAAGAGAATTGGAGAGAAAAATACCAAAACCAGGTTACTATTCACGGGTACGAATCACTGTTCCTGAGCTCAAAATCCGATCTCCACCGTTCAGATTTTAACTCATCGTGTCGTGAACCTCTCCTCCAAATTTCAGCTCGATCGGACCACGGACGAAGCAGGATAGGACGTTTGATGAAATATGGGCAGAATAGAAAAAACCTGCGTTTTTCTTCTCTCTTTCTTGTGAAAGCTACGGCTGATCTTCCTCTCTTTTTATTCTGACTTCCTTAGGGTTATTCACCCTAAAGAGCTGGGCTTTGGGTTTTAATAAAACTCATTTGGGCTT